TGGGCAATTCATGCCTGAGAAGATGATTTTGGGCAGTCCTTGACCATATGTGTCAGAGACCGGATTCGAGACGAGGGAGTGTCTCCATAGTGGAGGGCTTTGGCCTCAGCGACTTCTGCCAAGAGCGCTGTGCCTAGTGACACGTCCGTGCCCTAACTTACTGACTGGCAATCAGAACCGAAGGGGGGTAACTCTAGTTGATTTTATTACTGGGGTGTAACCTATGTACAAGTGGGATATATATATGGTTACAGCGAAGACGGGTCCGCAATTGGCGGAGCCGAATGGAGTGGAGCTAACGGGGTTTAAACATTAGCCGACTGAATATTACCGACGAGTCGGGTCACGGGGTTAGTGGAACGGCAGGTGATAACCCAGAAACGGAAAGGAGGGATAGGCCCAAAGGTGGGCTGTGCAGGGCAGGCGAGTGTATTGTCCAGCGGAGGCGGGAGTGCGCTAGTGGACGTCGGAGCTGTCCGGAAGTCTTTGGGGCTCCGTACTTAGGGAGGCGTAGGTAATAAATTAAAATGAGGGGGTGGTGACCATTGAGGGGTACCGAGAGGATTGCGGAATACGGGAGCTCCAAGGTTAGTGAGGGAGGAGCGGAGTTAGACCGGAGGGATCGGAGGGACCGGAAGTTGATGGCCGGGAATGGATATGACAATATGGCCAGACAAACCACAAAACATACAAAGATTCCCATCAAAACAGCGCTTACACTCTTTCGGCGTTAGCTTGCCATTCTCACCAAGTTTTGAAGAGAGGTCCAGTTTGGCTGTGGGGCCCCTTCCTGTTTATTCCTTCTATTTACATGGACCACTTTCCCTTGTATCATTGTACTGTTAACCCATCCTGTTATAGAGATGGACTAGATTCTTATGGTCCATGACTGCAAGTAGGTAGGTTGTCTCTGCCCTCCTTCATTATATTTCTCTGTCAAACTGTCATATCCATACAATCCTGACCTCCACTCTGGGCTCCCGGAACTCCGAAACTGACTCCGGAGCCCTACTTCCCTTCCGTCACCTTCTCCTTGCCAACTCCCAAGAGGTTATCCCACCTCCAGCTCCGACACCACCTTCAGTCCGACTCTGGAACATTCCAGGTCCGACCTCAACCTCAACACCTTCCAGACGAGTATGCAACACCTATGCTCCTGACTCCGGAACTCCACTCCGGAATCCCATTTGCGTCTCCATCTCCAGAACCTCCGGTCTTAGCTCCAACCTCAGACTTTGACCCCACCTCCGCTTATACCCATTGTATTGGTTAGCTCATTCCATTTAATTACCTTTGCCAATATTCCGGAGTTTAACTTCTGAGTTCGGACTTTCCAGACTTACGTCGGACCTTGCAACTATTGCATTGCTCCATTCAGTTCCGCTATTCTCCCTCATTCCTATTTGGGCTACTGCTTCCTTTCTATTCAGTCAGCTAGCCATTCCCCACTCCCAACCTCCTTCCTTCCTCCTTGGGCCTTGGCCCTTCACTCCTCCTTTGAGAAACACCATTGAGTCAAACCCTTGACCCTCGGTGTTGTCCCCCCTTTCAGCTCCCTTTGTCTCCTTTTGGAGTACCCTCGCTCCTTTTGATTCCAGACCCCTCCTTATATACAATGTACATAGTAACTTGTAACCTCAGTCCGAAATCGACCTGAATTCCCCCCAAGAGACTTTCCCTCTGCTAGATCCGAAATTAGGGACCCCCAGGACAACCAGCAATGGCACAGCGCTCCGCTTGAGTCACTGAGGCCAAGGTCCTTCCACGCTAAGTCTCCAATTCCACTCCGGAGTTGTCCGAATCCACCCATTCTAACACAAACCCCATGCCAAGCTTTCCCACTGGGTTTTGGTGCTGGCTGGGGGAATTGGGAAGTTTCAAGGGACTTCCCTTGACCATTGAGACTTTGATATTAGATAGAAACCAGTCATATGACATGTAAAGGCAAATGCCGAGAATGTTGATGATTATCGAATACATAACCCACAAACCTTGTACCGCAATTGTAACATCCTCACCATTGTGCCACCACTGTAAACTCAACCTGTAACCCTGGAACCATGTCCACCTCCCTATTCATCCTCTCCATGACAAAACTGCAACGAAGAGGGCATTCCCACACCCAACCTCCTGCTGCCCACTCCCACCAGTCCACTGGGTGGTTGAGCGGTCACTCCCATCCAACCAGAAGTTCCCTATCAGGAACAGTAGCCTATCCCACCTCCTTAGGAGAGGGATATTGTTATAGGAATGGACCTAGAATCTTATGGTCCGTGACTATGAACAATCAAACCCTTGGTCCCTGCACCTTTATTTCGCTGTCAAACCCCATGCCAAGCTTTCCCACTGGGTTTTGGTGCTGGCTGGGGAATTTGTTGAGTTTCAAGGGACTTCCCTTGACCATTGTGACTTTTATATTAGATAGTTATACCGCAATTGTAACATCCTCACCATTGTGCCACCACTGTAAACTCAACCTGTAACCTTGGAACCATGTCCACCTCCCTATTCATCCTCTCCATGACAAAACCGCAACGAGGAGGGCATTCCCATGCCCAACCTCCTGCTGCCCGCTCCCACCAGTCCACCGGGTGGTTGAGCAATCACTCCCATCCAACCAGAAGTTCCCTATCAGGAACTGTAGCCTATCCCACCTCCTTAGGAGAGGGATATGGTCCAGGCAGCTCCAGGATGCCTGGCCACACACCCGCGGGTCCCACTTCCCACGGTCACCCACTACCGTGCACTGGTCCACCAACCCGCTTTCCCCAACAACTCCCGCTACCGGTACGCTCCCATGAGCGCCAAGTCACCGATAGCCACCATCTGGGTGACTCCCTTTGGGAGTCCCAGTATCCCTCACTACCGGCACGCTCCATTGAGCGCCAAGTCACCGTTAGCCAAACACTCCCAGCACACCCGCTACCGGCACGCTCCCAGGAGCGCCAAGTCCCCGTTAGCAGACAGCCAGGTGGCTCCCTCAAGGAGCCCTCATCATACTCGCTACCGGTACGCTCCCAGGAGCGCCAAGTTACCGTTGGCCAACCCACAGGTTGTACTTCCGTACACTCTTCCTATTCCGCTCTCCCTCCGATGGCTACGCAGCCACCTCCATCAGTGAGTCGAACGGCTCAGGTTGGGTTCCCCGGAACCCATTCCTGTAACAGATATGGTCTGGGCAGCTCCAGGATGCCTGGCCATGCACCCACGGGTCCCACTTCCCACGGTCACCCACTACTGTGCACTGGTCCACCAGCCCACTTCCCCCAACAACTCCCACTACCAGTACACTCCCGTGAGCACCAAGTCACCAATAGCCACCAATTGGGTGACTCCCTTTGGGAGTCCCAGTATCCCGCACTACCAGTATGCTCCATTGAGCGCCAAGTCACTGCTAGCCAACCACTCCCAGCACACCCGCTACCGGCATGCTCCCAGGAGTGCCAAGTCCCTGTTAGCAGATGACCAGGTGGCTCCCTCAAGGAGCCCACGTCATACTCGCTACTGGTACACTCCCAGGAGTGCCAAGTTACTGTTGGCCAACCAACAGGTTGTACTTCCAGACACTCATCCCATTCCGCTCTCCCTCCAATGGCTATGCAGCCACCTCCATTAGTGAGCCGAACAGTTCAGGCTGGGTTCCCCGGAACCCATTCCTGTAACACATCCGGCCCAGACACCCTGGATGGCATCCCGCCATGCCCAGCACACATGCCTGCAGCGGGTGCTCTCAGGATCCCCTGCAGGGACACCTGGATGGCTGCAGCTGTCTCCAAGGATGATGTGGCACCCATCATGTGACCCAAGCTGCATGTACATAAGTGTACCTGAAGTGGGAACTGAAGAAGTAACCTTCTCACATTTTCCACTTCAGGTAAGTTCTCCCCTTTAATAACAATTCACATTTTCCACTTCAGTCTAAGTGGCCAGGGATTGCCGTCCCGCATCGGGCCTGCCAGCATGCATGCCTGCTTCACACCCCAAGAGGGTCCTTCTGCTGGGTGCTACATCCAGGCCCCCTCTACCCCAGACATGTCCCTGACAGCACATCCCAGCTCCTGATTTCAAGGTCAGTACTTTGGTCTACATCAAGGCCAAGTACTTCTGTTCCACCAGACCTTCGAGGAAGTTGTCCAAGAAAATCTTGGCCCCTTTGAGATCATTGCCTGTGTGGGTAGCCACTCCATCCTGCTCCACCTCCCTGAGTCCATGAGAGCCATTCACCCAGTCTTCCATGTGTCTCAAATTGAACCAGCCACTCCTAACATCATCCTGTGTCATATCCATCCCCGTCCATTGACTTCCGGTCCCTCCGATCCCTCCGGTCTACCTCCGCTCCTTCTTCACTAACCTCGGAGCTCCCATATTCCGCAATCCCCTCAGTACCCCTCGATGGTCACCACCCCCTCCTTTCAATTTATTACCTACACCTCCCTAAGTACGGAGCCCCGAAGACTTCCGGACAGCTCCAACGTCCGCTAGCGCACTCCCACCTCTGCTGGGCAATACACTCACCTGCCCTGCAGAGTCCACCTTCGGGCCTATCCCTCCTTTCCGTTTCTGGGTTATCGCCTGCCTTTCCATTAACCCTGTAACCTGACTCGTCGGTAATATTCAGTCGGCTAATGTTTAACCCCGTTAGCTCGGCTCGGCTCGGCTCCGCCAATTGTGGACCTGTCTTCACTGTAACTATATATATATCCAACTTGTACATAGGTTACACTTCAGTAATAAAATCGACTAGAGTTTACCCCCTTCAGTTCTGGTTGCCAGTTAGTAAGTTAGGGCATGGACGTGTTACTTGGCACAGCCCTCTTGGCATAAGTTGCTGAGGCCGAAGCCCTCCACCACAGAGACTTTCCTTCATCTCAACCTGGTCTCTGACATCCTGAACCGCAACCAACCTCCACCTCCACCGATTGTGATTGACAGACAACCTGAGTTCAAGATTGGAGAAATTCTTGACTCCAAGATCAATTGCTGTAGATGGGGTTGTAACCTCATCTATACCGTGCATTGGTTAGGTTATGAGGGGACTGATGAGGAATACTCTTCACTCTTAGCTTTGGAACTTGATCACACTCCTGATCTCGTTGTGGCTTTTCATGCCCGCTATCTGCACAAGCCTGGGCCTGAGTATTAGGTTCGATAAAAATTTTCTCCTTCTTCTCCACCACCCCTCCTCCAGCGCCAACATTCCCCCTGTCTGCAGTACCTCCCTTAGCCTCTCTCATAGGTCTTACAGCCTTCAGGGGTTCAAGCCTAAGAAGGGGATACTGTCATATCCATACCTACTCTGCCCAACCTCCAAACTGCTCCACCACCATTCTGGTTCACTTCCAGTTCGTCCCCTCCCTCACCTCTGCCTCCGATCTCCAGTACCTTCTCTGGTACCCCTTATCCTCATCATAGAAGTTTATCAATATTTCTATCTACCCAACATTACTATGGACCTCCTAGGACCTCTGCCAACTGTCATGGCCATGCATTCCAGCCCATTCCCCACCTGTCCCAATGCCGCCTGAGCCCATCCTGCTGTGTGAGCATGAACCTCAAAGTTCTGTGTTACAACAAACTTAAACTTCAGGTCAAATTCTGATCAAAGGCAGTTGGATTCCATAGCGGCCTTTAACTAACCCTCCTACCTTCATGATCCACATTAAAGTGAGTGACAAGGGTGGAAGGAAACAGCACAAAACACCCTGGGGGTAGTTGCAGGATGACTTTCCCCTCTATGTTTACTAGCCAGACACATGTTCCATGAGCAAAAAACCTGAAACATTCCCTAAGATAAACCTCACACCAGTCAGGTCATGACCCACCATAAACATAAACAGCATGTATTCCTGCCACTGAATTGTGTTGGTCTCAGTGAGGTTTGGTGTAGACATGGAGGGGGGTAGTTGGGCATTACTGGCCACACTGAAAAACAAAGAGGCCACTGGGTTGGCTGGGGCCTGTTCATGGCCTTCCCAAAATTGTTTTACTTCTTCATACTTTCAAAACACCCCTGGGTAATACCTCCTCACCAATTCAGTGAGGTGGGAGCTGGATGGGGAGTGGCATTACTATTAGCCCATAGCTGAGTGCTCCCCCTTACCTCAGTGCTTGAAACTCTGAAGAGTTAAGGAAATCTTCCACCACAGGCTTGTTCTGCTGGTGGTAAGCTGTCAGGAATGGATACTGGCCCTCTCCTCTCAGTAGGGCATCTTTCATCAGAACACAGGGCCACCTACCTTGTTGCTGTTCCCATTTGCCCTGTTGTACCCTACATGCATGGTACTGAACTGACCCTGTGGGAAGGTGCTTAGAGACACCAAACAATAACATTCAGTGAAGAAGGCAGATCTGGAACTTGTCTGTGGTAGCCAAGGGCTGAGGATATGCCCTTGGCATCAGCAACCTCTTGTCCTTGTCCAGAATCAGGGTAGGTCCCTTAAGGTTGGGGCTAGAGAAAGGGCCTTGAGCATCAAAAGGGCTCAGAGCCTGTGCTACATACTCATAGGGCACAAATTGAAATTTTCTCAGCTGTTTACTATGGGTCCCTGGGTTCAACATCCAACATCCTTCATCCATTCTTTCAACCTAGGTCCCGAGAAGCCACTGGCTGATACTCTATGACATGAAAGTTGAGCAGAGATGTGTAGGCTCTTTGTGTTCAGACATAACTGCCTCCCAAGACTGGCCTGGGACCTTTGAGCATCTTTGGCTCTCTTTGCTCAGGGTGGGCCTTGTTGTATCTTCTCCTTCTCCTTTTTTGTTTTGACAAGCTCTTTGGTTCCTTTTTCTTTGCACTTTCTTTCCCCTTGCTGCCTTGTGAAGATGTTAAAGGGGCTGCCTGGTTTGGCAAAACAGCCCTAAAGGGAAATTGGCCATCCAAAAAGCTGGCTTACCTCGAAACTGGAGTGCCAGAAAAAGCAAAGCTAGCAGAAGACATAGGGCTTTCTTCCAAACACCTCATCACTTAATCAGGCCTTACGTTAAGGTGGAAAAACACCCTCATCCCCCTCCACATAGCCTGCCGGAACATCACCCTCCATGGATGGGAAACTGCTGCCTTGTTTTCACCCACTTTTCTGAGATCATCAAGGTCACTGAGATTGCTGGTATTGCTGAGATCACTGGTACTGCTGAGATTGGTGAGATCATGGAGATGAGGGGAAAACTCGGCACTGGCTGGAGAGCCTGCTGGGTTGGGGTCCTCAGCCATGCTGCCATTGTTAGAAAGGGCTGCTGACAACCTAAGGGATGTTATAGTGCCCAGTAATGATGCAGATGTCCCAAGCACTTAAGCCTAGAAACCAAGAAATAAGGCCCTTGCAGCTTCCAAAGGAGACAACAAACTGGCAACCCTGTGCTTAAGTGAGCCTGAGCACCTCTTGTGAGGGGCATAGTAATGATGCAGGGAGTTCAGTGGCTATGCTGATCGATCAGTTTCCCCTCCTCTCCTTTCCTCCACCTTCCCTGCCTTTTCACCACTTCCCAGCACTCCCTGGGCCCTGGAGGCTGCATGGCTGATTGTACCTTGCTTGTGGCATCAGGGCTTTGGGGTGCTAGGCTGGCCTGCTTGCCAGGCCAGCAAAGCAGAGTTGGTGCTCTCCCATCAGCCACCCAACCCTCCCACCCCCCACCCCCCTCACTGCCCCTGGCTGGCTAAGCCTGCTCTCCATTGCCCCAGCTCTGTGAAGGGTCCCTTCTCATGATGGTAAAATCACATGACTTGTGCCTTGCTGTGGTGTGCAGACACCCTTTTTCATCCATTACATGCTCATGCTTGAGGCAGTCTGATCTTGAGGCAGTCTGATGAGGCCCTGTTCATGGAACTTCCCAACAGGATGGATGGAAGAAGGTGCTGAGAACACTGATATCACAATGCTTCCCAAGCTTGGTTCATTTTGGTCTATAGATAGTCCTGGAAGAGGGAAAGTTCAGGGCTGTGATTTTCTGGGTGTTGATGTGAAGTACAAGCAATGCACAGACAAAGACTCCTTGGATGTATCAGGTCTCATGTGGATGGGCAGAATGCTTGAATTTCTTGGAGTTCATGCCATACAATAAGGATGTTTACTACTGCACTATTGACTGCCAAGGTGAAAGAGTGGGTTTTACCATCCATTCTGGAACGTGTTAACAGGACAGAACCAAAGGTCATGGTGTGTAGCAAGTTGTTTCAGAGAGGGCTTCAAACAGACTTCAGGAATAGGAACCTAATGCACATTCTAGACCTGGTATGAAAATTACTAAATGTCAGAAGCACTGTGCTCGTTACATGGGACCCGAGTCCCCCTGTATGAGACATGACACATTTACCAGCATCAGTTTGAAGAAAAAGAACTACCCTTATGAGTACCAGCAGCCTCACAATCAACCCACCAAATTCAGGTGCATCAGAAGAGATGACTTCTTGTGGCATGAATGTGGCCACACTTAGAGGAATGGCATCACTTGTGGTAAATACATCAAAATTGGGCTCCTGCCCTTGTACATTATTAGGAAAAAGGAATTATAGGAGGGAGTAATAAGAAAGAAGAGAGAGGGTTTTCATACGAACTGAAAGAGCCTTTCTGCAAAGGAATTGATTGAGATTTGGAGGAGAAATTCAAACTGAATCCTCTTATGCTAAGTCTGTGCATGTCAGGGCCTGGCCTCAGACTCAGAGGCTCCCTGACCTCAACCTCCATCTGACCTGTCCTCACACTATGTGGGGCATGAGATGTATAGTAAAAGAAATAGAATATGTACACTTGCCTATGCAGGGCATGAGATGAGAAGAAGGGCAAAGGTCTCATCTCCCAGCATGGTTGCTATATAAAGGAATGGGTCACATGCCCACAACTATACAGCTCCTAGAGTTGTGTAGTGTGACCCAGAGGGAACATCCAGGTGGCAGTGCCCAGTAAGTGTGGGAACATTCTGGGCAAGTTGCTCACCCAGAATTGTGGCTGTGACCCATGAAAACATTCTGGGTGAGCTGCTCACTCAGAAAGTTCCCATGCTATCCTGTGCATGCGGATGCACAACACACAAAGGCAACAACAAGGCAACAATGAAGGAATGGAAGGAAGGGAGTGGTTGGGGAGTCTGGGGCACCCTAGGGCAGGATGCTGAACCCTGACAGTGCACTTGACCAAAACTTAATGGGAACAAGGTCAAAAGTTGGTGGCAGAGGATGATGTAACAGGTCTATCAATCTAGACTCGTGGCTCAGGTCTAGGGGGGTAGGTCTCTCTCTATCTCTAGGGTAGATGTGGGTCCTGCGAGTACAGTGCTGATACTCTCTGTCTAACCTCTAACTAACTGTCTGTACAGTTGTCACGGAAGAGTCCGATACAAATATAAAAGGAAAGTCACATGCGTGAATGAATGAAATAGTAAGGAAAATAAAGAAAGGTCATATCTCCTCAACCACTCCACCAAATCTGACGATCTTGGACTCCCCAGAACCACCTCCACAGTATCTACAACTCCTACTATTACCACGACTCACCAATCCTAGTCCCTGATGCAGTAGGGGGTGAAATGCGTGATAAGGGTTGGTTTGACCTGCACGGACTTGTCCCCACAACAACGATCTAGAGGTCATTAACTCCAGAAAAATACCCAAGGATTCAGTGTAAAATCTCACCCCAATTGGATCAGTGGTTGTGGAGATATTAAGGGAGATTCTGATTATCAGGCTTGACAGGAGTCATGGGACTATATGAACTATGCGGATGCTCATGTGTGAGCCAGTCTCAGCAGAATTCCAAGAGAATATGGGTTAGTTAAATGATAAAAATGCTAAAGAAGTCATTGGAGGAGTCTTGGAATTTTGGGATTTTATTTGGTCCAAGTTTTCCTATGCATGGATAATCAAGATATGTTCCCACATCTGAGAATTCCTGTTCTCAGTCAAATCTCCACCAAATCTCACAAAATCGGTATCGCTAGAAAGCTATGGATGGGGAGAGTCGAATGGAATGAAGGGACGGAGTTTTGACATGATTGTCATATCCATACAATCCTGACCTCCACTCCGGGCTCCCGGAACTCCGAACCTGACTTCCGGAGCCATACTTCCCTTCCGTCACTTTCTCCTTGCCGACTCCCAAGAGGTTATCCCACCTCTGGCTCCGACACCACCTTCGGTCCGACTCCAGAACATTCCAGGTCCAACCTCAACCTTGACACCTTCCAGACGAGTATGCAACACCTATGCTCCTGACTCCGGACCTCCGCTCCGGAATCCCGTTTGTGTCTCCGTCTCCAGAACCTCCGGTCTCAGCTCTGACCTCGGACTTTGACCCCACCTCCGCTTATACCCATTGTATTGGTTAGCTCATTCCACATCAGCAAACCTGGATGCGGAGGCCTGAGAGCTCATAGAGCTCATAGAGCTCTCAGAGCTCTCAGAGCTCTCAGAGCTCTCAGAGCTTCAGTACTTTGAAATTGCAGGTCCCCTTCTCTGAGAGCTCCGAAAAGTAGTCAAAGCTCTGAGAGCTCATAGAGCTATATTTGCACACAGGGGACTATTATCTATATGAGCTCCCTGAGTGTTTAATTTACCCGATATTAAAATTTAAATTTAAAAGCATTGACTATGGCATCATGTGACTAGCCATAGCCAAGTCCCTACCATACAAGGGACTGAACAAACTCAGCTTCACTTTCAGCACCAATGCAGCACCAGACACCAAGGGTATGTAGCCCAATCAATATATAAGCCAAATTTAGGGATATAAATGCAGTTAATCTGAAATTACTTAGGGAAAATGCGGGAAAATGAGTGGGAAAATGAGTGGGGGGGAAATGGGGGGGGGGAATTGAGGGGGGGGAATGGGGGGGAATTGGGGGGGGATGAGGGAGAAAATGAGGGGAAAATTAAAGGGGGAAATGGGGGAAATGGGGGGAAAATGAGGGGGGAAATGGGGAAATTTGGAGGGGGGGATGAGGGGGGAAATGAGGGGGAAATTGAGGGGGGAAGTGGGGGGAAAATGGAGGGGGGAATGGGGTGAAATTTGGAGGGGGGAATGAGGGGGGAATGAGGGGGGAATGAGGGGGGAATGAGGGGGGAATGAGGGAGGAAATGGAGGGGGAATGAGGGGAAATTTGAAGGGAGAAATTTGGAGGGGAGAATGGGGGGAATGGGGGGAAAATTGAGGAGGGAATTGAGGGGAAAATTGAGGGGGAATGGGGGGGAATGGGGGGGGGAATGAGGGGAAATTTGAAGGGGGACATTGGGAGGGAATGGGGGGGGAATGAGGGGAAATTTGGAGGGGGGAATTGGGGAGAAATGGGGGGGAAATTGAGGTGGGAATTGGGGGGGGAATGAGGGGGAATTTGAAGGGGGAAATTGGGAGGGGGGAATGGGGGGGGAATGAGGGGGAAATTGAAGGGGGGGATGGGGGGGGAATGAGGGGGGGGATGAAGGGGAACTGGGGGGTTTCTAAAAACTTGAAAAAAAGTCAGGGAAAATTAAGGAAAATTCAGAAAATGGGGGACTTTCCAAAAAAGGAGAATGTCCAAAAAATCAGGGGGAAAATCAGAAATTTTGGGATAAGTTAGGGAGAGATATTTCAGGAAATTAGGAATAATTGGAAAAAAAAATTAATTCACTTTTTTGATAATTCAATGTGCATTGGAAAGTGCCAAAGTGGGGCAATGTAGCAATGTATGTTTCAGTGTTAGAAAAGTCTCCCACCATGTTTTGGTGAGTGTCAGGGCACAGCTCACTATTCCACAATCCCACATGCATGCAGACCCATGGGAAAGTTCTGGGCAAGTTACTCACCCAGAAACCATCACAGCCACAACTGTGGGAACTTTCTGGGTGAGCAGCTCGTTCCCATGGGGGGGTGCCATTTATGGAAAGTCAACAAAGAGCTGAAAACTGTATAGTTCCTGGCTCCCATTTGTAGAGGAGGTTGAGAAGGTTTAGCCCCCTCAGTGAGTTTGAGGATCTCGGACTGGGACTAGATACCCCAGCGACTAGGAGGATCCCCCTGGGCCTGTCACAGAACAAGGGCTGGGCCCTGACAGTGAGCCAAATAACCATGGCTTTTTGACCATGGGAAATTTGGTGTCAAAGGCTTGGATGATATCTGAAGACATCAGCTTTTTGTTTGCTTTATTGGGTGGTATTTTCAATTTACTTCATTTGGAACACTTTGTTAAAACTGATTTATACCCTACATAACATGCATGGTTCCATTGCCACACTTTGGTGCTTTC